CAATCAGTGCCCTTTAAATTAGTCATTGCTATGAAAAAAAGCTAGATTTCATTCACCTGAAATCGAACTTAGCTACAGTAATGTAAAATGGAGGCTATTTCTACATCTTTCCTATGTAAGATTTTGGTTCTGTTTGATCTAAGGCAATGAGAGGAAATCATGTTTGGCCTCAAAACCAAGATACAGTATCTTTTCTTAAATACAATTGTATGTCACCTCAGTTTCTGCAACATGCAAAAAATTATTTGCAAACATGCAAATAATTCAGTATGTCCCCATCAGATTAGCACCTTCTCTACAATTGGCAAACAGTTGAACAAATCTCAGAATGACTCAGGTTTCAAGAATTTAGTCACTTCATTTTAGATTTTAAAAAGTATAAAAAGGCTCCTAGAATGTGTGTTAACGTTATGTTAGTTTGCTAACAAACTGAAAACTGAATTTATAATCCTGTTGTCCTACGAGTAAGAAAATTCTGCTTATGCACAAGGGAACCTTTCTTTTCCAAGCTAATATCTTAGTTCTACTCACAGATTCACTTTGTGTACTCATAATCTATATTCTATATTCTTTTAGTTCAGTGTTTCCCAAACTTGACAATTTTAAGGCATGAGGACTTCAACTCCCAGAATTCCACAGCCAGCAACGCTGGCTGTGGAATTCTGGGAGTTGAAGTCCACATGCCTTAAAATTGTCAAGTTTGGGAAACACTGCTTTAGTTATTACTCCAGAAAAATTTGAACAAGTTACTTATTTGACATGAAAAAAAGGTATTTTTCAAGGTCTCATTTTGTTAAGACTAAAAATAATTACTATATTAATTAAAACAGGCACTGCATAACACAATTTTTTCCATATCAAACATGTAGCTGTATTAAACGTTGACTTCCTAGGGCTGAGAGAGAGGGAGGTTACCCAGTTGGCTTTGTACCTAAGGTAGAACTAGAACTCATGATCTCTCAGTTTCTAGCCTGATACCTTAACTGCTACACAAATCTGAATGTTATAAGATGTGATATCTTATGTTACTCAAATTTATTTATTTTTTGTGATTTTTTTTTACCAGCTCTATTATTTAGATCAAAGTTATTCTATCATACACAAATGGAGGGCATAATATGAACAATCCTATCACTCCTGATTAGATTAGGAAAACATTTAAAGTGAAATTCAATTCTGATCAAAAGCCTAGCCTATGTACAGCCTAAGATAAAGTCTTTGTTCATGAATACATAAATAGGCTCAACATATTATCTCCAAGGGAAGTTGGAAATCCAGCAATAGCATCTGGCAGAGCTTCTGAAGAAAAGTTTCTGGCAGGTCATAAAGTTGGCATAGAATATTAGGTTGGCATTTTGCTCGCTTTTTTAAGCTGTGGGAATAAATTCTGTGATTCCTCCCCTGCTTCCAAAAATTCACTTTTTAACATTGAGAATTGTATCTTTTTGTTTATGCTCTGACATCTCCAAACAACTATAGCTGTTTGTAAAGCAACTATAAATAACAGTAGGTTGTTTATTGCAGATGTCTTCCAAGTCATCTTAATGTTGCAACAGATGTTACTATGGTTTCTGAAATTCTTTTTGGACTTAAGGAAATTGAATGGAAATACGTTGTTTTTCTGAAACTTTTTACTAATGTTAGAGTTACTGTGATTTATTATGAAGAAATACTAGCTTTTTGAAAATCTGAGTTTATTGAATTTTTCAGGTCTTGTCTAATATCTTAACCACTATACCAGACTGTACTTTACAATGACAAAGTAATTGTTTTGGAATAGCAAGAGTAGATTCAGGTTAATACAATCTCTACTTACTGCTCAAAAGCTTTTTTAGACATGAGGTTGGATCTTCATCAATGTCCCAAGGCAGCCAATTATCTACTTGCCTATGTTCTTTTTTATACGAGTATCAAAGGAGGAGTAATGCTGGAGGTGGGGACTAATCTGGAGTCTTATAGCAGTAGCTCTATAGTGAATACCATGTAATACTTGTAATCATAGTATTTTTATGTTTTAATAGTTTATATCCCAACTCCCCTACATTTGATGCAGTTATAGACTGACAAGCATGCAAACTGAGATTTAAAACCTATTTATGGCTTCTTCCCAAATGTGCTAGTTTCCAAGGAAAGTTGTTGCATTGCTTTATTGTAGAGGCGATCATATCAACAAAAATTACCATGCTACATTTTTATTTTCTTTTTGTATGGTGGAACCAGTCCTAGTGTCCAAAGATAGCTTCAGATTTGCAGCTCACCAATCCTGGGTTCCTCCAGAGGTCATAGCTCAGTAAAAGCATATCAGTTTGTTTTCCATCCTTGAATGGGGAGGAGAAATGCTATTATATTATTTCTTCTGGGAAACAGATGGAGAGAGTAGAATCCAACACTATTGAATTGTCTGGGGGCTTTCAATTCCAGTGACAATATTTGGGGGGCAGGGGTTGCTTTGCCCAAGAAAATGTAGCATTACTGTGGACCCAATCCTTCACTGAAGGTACAACTCTGAAAGGTGATGCAGAACACTATGTTTTAAGTTCAGTCTTTGGCTTTTGAAATTTTCAACTCAATAGAATAACTTTCCAAAAGCAGAGTAGACCAGGACTATAGTTGGTGAGGCAGAAGAAGCCACCCAAATGAGGCTTGAATTTTTAAAAAATGAACTATATCTAGCTGATGTGACTGTGTGATGAATTTGTTCTTGAAAAAAAGGGGGTGGTCCTATCACTGTTTAAAGAAACTATGGTTTACTCCTCAAGAAGCCATTACTAGATCTGACTTTTTTGATAACTCTTGTTCTATCTCCAATCCTTCTTTCTTAATGAATATTATTATTTGAATCATTTCAATTGGGTTTTAGACCTAGGTACAGGCCTGCAGTGGCACTGATCACATTTCTTAGTTATTTTTAGCAAAAGTGGAATGGGGTAGTGATTCATCCTGACTCTCCTTGACCTGTTGGTGGCTTTCAATCATATTATCTTTCTAAACCAACTCTGGGGATTAGGAATAGGAGGCATACTTCTGCATTGGTTCTCCTCCTTTCTCCAGGGCCAGTTGCAATCAGTGCTGAGAGGAGAAATCTAGTCCATGGCCCCCTTTCTATGGGATTCCTTGGGGGGGGTCGATCTTTTCCCCATTCTTAACATGTACATGAAGCTGCTGGGTGAGGTCATCCATTGGCACCTTTGAGGATATCAATATGTTGATTATACCCAGCTTTACATCTCTATCCCAGGCCAATCAAAGGATGCCAGGAGGATTCTAAATGTTTGGAGGCTGTGAGGATCTGGATGGAGAAGAAAAGGCTTCAGCTCAATCATGGCAAGATTGGCTGTGAGTTTTAGGGCCCACTGAATCTAGTGTTTTCCACCTTTACTTCTGGATGAGTTTGCATTACTTAGAACTGGTGTGCAAACTAGGGATTCTCATCGCTTTTCTTTGGAGGTAGCAACTTAGCCAGGAGGGCTTTTGCACATGTTCATCCTGTATGTCAGTTGTACCTTGCTATGCCTGCGTTATACTTCTGCTCCATGAACTGCACTGTCTCCTAGTGTAATTCCAGGTAGAATTCAAGGTGTTGGTTGACACGCAAAGCCTGACATGTCATGAAGCTGGGTTATTTGTTTCTCTCTTAACTCTCCAGGTCTCAAGAAGAACGCTCTGGATTCCATCAAGAAGGTCCCTAGGAAATGGTTGTTTTCTGTTACAGGATCTGCTGTCTGGAACAAGATTAGATCCCAAGATTAGATCCCTGCTGGCTTTTCCAAAGCATTAAAGACTTGGATGTACTCCAAGGTGTGAGGATTGGGAGGTTTCAGATGGCTTGTGAGATAAGACTTAATTGTACTGCTGGGTGTTGTACTGTTGGGCTTTTCATGACAATCACTATATGTGTTTATATTTTGTTGGCATTTTAATGTGTTTTTAACTGCCTATATTTATATCTGTAAAATAGGCAGCCATATACATCTGTTTTATAAATTCCCCCATGCATTCTTAAGAGATACAACTGAATAGCAGCTAAGCATGAGCTGACAGCTCCATCCTAAATCCCCCTCCTCTCTCCCTCCCTGTCATTCAACCCATAGGGAAGGGGCTAGAAAATTAGACTTGTTTAACATTCAAAAGACTATATGGCACTTTAAAATTAATACTAAATTGGCATGAATATATACCCAATTTACAGCTTGACCTTGCTATTTCTACCTATAAAAATTATAAGGAAGCTGTGGAATTCTGAACAGATACTTGCAGACAGTTCTAATCTGAAAGAGGACTAAAAAACTAAGAAAAGGTTGAGGTTTTAATCTTAGGGTTTTTAATGAAGTAACATATAGCACCGGTGACCAGCTTAAATTGATGTATTAGTTACAGGACAGCAGATGAATACAGAGAAATAGTGCTAGCTAGTTTTGACTGTCAGTGTATACTACTTGGCCATTAACATTTGCAGGAATAGCTTGTCCAACCATAGAAATTGGTTTTGAAAGTCCACCTTTCTGATCTATAGTACAACAAGTCCCATTATTGCCAAAGTCCCTACTAGTGGAAATGTGTGGCACCAACAATGTTTCTTAAAATATTCAAAATTATTATTTTTTAGAAATTCATTTGAAATTGATTTCAACTTTTAAAATGTATATTTAAGTTGTTGCTTTTGGTGTCATGTTTAGTTTTTAGGTGATTTTTACAATGAGTTTTATTATAATATGGTTTCATTGTGAATGGCATTAATATTGAGAGAGCTTTATAACTTTTAAACATATTATATGAAATGTTTACAATAAATAGACAGGAACCTCCATCTATGGAGAAAGAATATTTCAAAGGCATATTTTCTGAAAAGTTCATTAATGGGAATATCATGAGGGAATGAAAGGATCTTAAAGCTGATTGATCATATATCACATGAGTAAAATTATAGATTACTGAAATGTGAAGGCACTGTCAAGGACACAATGTAAAGAAGTGTTGAATCATATTTATTTTTATTTTTGTTTATTAGTTTATGTTTATTATTATACAGTTAAAGCTAATATATTTTCTTCTAAAGAGCACTCAACTTGTCTACACAATACTTACAAGGACAGGGTGGAATTCTCTCACCCCTCCCCACTTCCTGCTTTAGATGTTTAATTGCCTACTAGCGCTGTCTGACTCAGCTATTAAGCTCTTAATTTTGCATATAGAATATACATCACTTCCATTGTTAGGTCTACAGTGCTGTGCTCTGCAGTTGTCTTAATGTATCTGGCACAGTCTGCAGATTGTTACCTTAGCCTTGTTTCCTTTAGCTATTTCTTTCTGGTGAGGAAATAAGAACAGCTATTCTGAAGGAAAATGATTTAAACAAATTCTGCAGAGTACTGTGGATCCAGTAAAATACATAGAAAGACTGTTTTTGAAATGGTAGATGCAATTAGTGATGATATAATATTGCTTCGGCTACATATAGCCAGCTGAAAAGAGTACCTGAAAGATATTATAGTTGAGCTATTGCACAGTAATCAATTGCATCAGCTCATTCTGTCTGTCCAAACAATTCATGATAGATTATCTCAATGAAGAACTCTATTAAAAAAATGCCTCAAAGCATTGTAAGAATCATTCACTTACCAAAAGAGATAGTTTGATAGATGGAATAACAGTTAGAAGGAATCTTGAAGGTCTTCTAGTCCAAACTCCTGCTCAAGCAGGAGACTCTATAGTACTATATCAGACAAATGGGTGTCTGAATTTGAATGGAATTGAATTGATTTTTATTTGGGCAAGTGTGTTTAGACACACAAGGAATTTGTCTCCGGTATAGAAGCACTCAGTGCACATGCAAAGCAACAGAATCATCATCATCATTATCATCATCCCAATAAAAAGGGGGGGGGAGTAATGAAAATAGTATGAAGGATAAATAATAATACAGCCACACTACATGGGTAAATATATATAGACATTAGACAGCATTGTGAGAATTAGGTATGATGGCATGAGGGAAAAACTCCTTGTGCCTAGTTGTTTTGGCATGCAATGCCCTATAGTGCTGTCCCAACATGAGAAGTTGAAACAGTTTATGTTCAGGATGTGAAGGGTCTGCAGATATCTTCTCAACGTTCCTTCTGACCCACACAATATGCAGGTCTTCTGTAGAAGGCACACTGGTTGCAATTGTTTTTTCTCCAGTCCTAACTATTTGTTGGAATCTGTGCCTGTCCTGTTTGGTTGCTGTACTAAACCAGACAGCTATAGAAGTAGAAATGACAGACTCAATAATTCTTCTGTAGAACTGTATCAACAGTTCCTGGGGCAGTCTGAACTTCCTGAGTTGACGGACAAAGAACATTTTTAATGATGGTTCTAATGTTAAGTGTCCATTTCAAGTCCTGGGAGATTATAGAACCCCAAAACTTGAAGAATTCTACTGCGGATACTGTGCTATTAAATATAGTAAGAGGTGGTAAAATAGAAGGGCTCCTCCTAAAATCCACTTTCATCTCTACAGTTTTAAGCATGTTCAGATTGTTACAGCTGCACCACAGGGCCAGTGGTTTCATTTAGAAGTTTAAAAGGAGCACAGAGAGTACTGAGCCCTGCAGCACCCACAAAGGAGCAGCAGTGGGCTGAACTTCTTGCCCCCCATTAATACAGAGCCAGCCATGGAGAAAGGAACGGAACCAGTGCAACACTGCACCACCCAGTCCCAATTCTGCACCTGGTCCAAAATTATACCATGACTGATGATATTGAAAGTCACCAAGAAGTCAAGGAGAACAAGGATAATTGCACTATCCTTGGATAATCCTACTCTCACCAATGATCGTCAACAAGTGCAACCAGTGCCATTCGCATTCCAATGACCAGGCCTGAAACCTGACTGAAAGGGGTCTAGATAATCCCTTTTATCCAAGATCCTTTGGAGATGCAATGCAACCAGAAGGTGGGAAATTGGATGAAAATGAAAAATTTGTATGGTGGGATCTAAGGGTGGCTTTTTAAGAAGGAGGAATAAAGAAACCCCATAGAAATTTCTAAACAAAAACTTTAGAATTTTTTTTTTAATATTTTCCAGATACTTGACCAAGTATTCCTCTCTGCATGTAAATTAATCTGAGAATGATATTCATTTTGAAAGCATTCACTTTACCCAAAGGGTAAGGTTTAATTATTCCCATCTATCCATATTTAAAGAAGCCTTTCTATATATTTTATTTTTATTATGTCTAACTAAGATATCTTTCAATATATATTAAATATTTTGATATGTGTATGCTAAAAGATCTAATTCAGTAACAGGCAGCTTTAAAGTAGATTCTCAGCATCTTTTCTATTTGAAGATACCAAGCGATGGAGTACTACAGTATCTAGTCTAGTGACAATAACATAAATACGAAATAGAGAGAGATTGTCCTCGATCCTTAAACTACAACAATAATAATACAACAAAACATTTTATAATGTTTAGGGATCTGATGGCACTTGAATGAAAATTAACTATATTACAAGTATCTGGTTTTCAGATACTGATAGTTTTTGTAGTATTTTATACTAAAGCTTAGCAAATAAGGAGTTTGATTCTGGTACTTTGCAAAGGATGCTCCTGAACAAAACACCAAATTCCCAAATGTAGAAACCAGCTATAAATTAGCATAATGCATGACTTACCAAGCCTAAAGTGGTTCATAGTGCACAGAGGCTTGGTAAACAGGTGGATTATATTAGATCTGATAGACCACGAATTACACAGGCTTATTTGTAGTATTTTTATAAATATTATAAACAGCAAGTGCATAAGATAGGCCTTCAAATATGCAGGAAACAGCCATTGTGTGTGTATGTATGTGTGTGTGTGTGTGTATGTATATATGTATGCATGTATGTGTGTGTGTGTATGTATGTGTATGTATGTATGTGTATGTATGTATAGATAGATAGATAGATAGATAGATAGATAGATAGCCAGACCCAAGCCTAATGAAGTGATTTAAATATATGGAAAAGGGCAATTTTTTTTCCTTTGTTGGGAAGGTGTGGGAAAGATCCTGATCTGGATAATAACATGTTGAACCTATCAAGCTAAAACAGTCTTTTTGCATCTTTTATGCATGATAGTAGGAAAGAGCTCATTGCTGCCAATGGGAGATATTTTAAAAGCAGTGGGGAAAACTCCCTATCTCCTGGGCCGTGGCCTGTTTGGAACTGGGCCGCGCAAGTGATGGGTCAGTGTGCGGGAGTGCACAGTTCAACTTGCATGAGCAACAGGCTGGTGTGCACACATGCACAGCTTGACTTGCATGAGCGGAGGGCCGCCTCTTGCACGGGCCAGTTCCCCTCTCCCCCTCGCCAGGCTGACAAGCCATAAAGGTTGGGGGCCGCTGTACTATGCAATCCTCAGTGTAGTGGGCTGTCTCCATTAGAAAAAAAAAGAGCATAGATGTGAATCTGGTCCTTCAGATGTGTGTTTGTTTGTTTATTCGTCAAATAAAAATTACAAATTCAAATGAACAAAATGAAAAAAACTGAAATGTGACGGGCAACAGGCACATTAGTGCACTTACGCATGCTCCCTTAGGAACCTCTTAAATACTGTATAGGATGCAGTCCATAGAAGTTAAGTTGGAATTAAAACTGTGAAAGCTAGTAGCTGAGATGATTGAATTGGGTAAAATATTACAGACTTTGACAACTCTGTTACAAAAATCGATTTTTTTACAATCAATTTAAAGCTGTTGCTGATTAAATCTCCCAGCATTCCTCACCATTGTTCATATTAGCCAATAATTCACAAGTAATTCTTGGGCACCGTAGTTCAGCAAAATCTGGAGGGTCACAGGTTCCCCATCCTGCATGCTACTCAAAAGTTTTTAAGCAGTGCAAAAGCTATTCTTTCTGTTTCTAGCAACTGCTATATACAAAGGAAAAAACTCTCTCTGAACCTTATTTCTGAAAGCTTTGTTGATAGACCTATCCTCCATTGATTTATCTAATCGCCATTTAATATAATCACTGCAGGCTATGCTTCACTTGATTGTTTTTCATAATATTTAAAATATTGTGAATATTTATAATATTCATAATATTTACAAAATGGAAATAAAGTGGACAAAGTGTTCAGCAGAGTTGCCTGAGGATTCTGACAAACAGATTACACAGAGAGAGATATCATCTACAAACGCATAATCGGAGCAGGTAATGGAATATGTGAATGACTTCTAAAGGTGACACTGGAGCAACGGAATGGATTATTGGCTGTTCCCACACACTTTTACCATTCTAGTCAATTGGGGTTGAAATGAAACACCATTTATTTTACTGTATTGTGGAAGAGCAGGCTGCCTGAAAAAAATTGCACGGCTCTGTGCTGCCTTCTTTTGCTCCACTCTGAGCCTTTTTCCCAGGGCAGCCTCTCCCAAGACAGAGTTGTCAATAAAGATGCAACCTTGACACAAGTGTGGGAGGAGAGGGAAGGAGAAGGGAGGAGACGCCTGTTCTGGAGCTCTGCAGCCACCAGCACAGAGCTCAGTCCAATTAAAAGAAAGCCTTTTTCCTTCAGGAATGAACCATACAGAAGAGAGGAAAAGAAATCTAACAGGCCAGCAAGACAAAGCACAGTGTAAAAACAGCGCAAGAGGTCTACATACTGGCTGGTAACAGAAAAATAATGTCAGAGAAGACCTTAAGACAGCTTTAGAAAGCCATGATGCATACTATAATATAAAGCACATTATATAGGTAATTGTTAATAGAGTAACAGGAAATAGTAAAATAGTACATTGAATAGTAACGCTATACGGTATAAATATTGTCATAGTAATTGAAGAGTAATAGTATAGAGCATAGTAATTGTCATAGTAATAGCACAGAGGTAGCAAATGAACAGAATACACTAAGCTTGCTTATGCTTGCTCCTACAAAATAAAACATCTCTTCAATGCTTATAAGGGGATATAAAAGGGATATAATGAAATCACCTGTCCTAAATCCAGTGCTTTTGTATCTCTCTTGAGCATGGGTCAATTCAATCGAGTGTGGTTTAAAAAAAGAACTCATGACAGTTTTCTTTGCTTGCTTTTTAATAGTTTTTTTTCCCCTTTGGTTCAACCATGTTCAATTGTTGGAGATTGCCTGGACATGTCCCTGCAGTTTTCTTTGCAAGTTTTTTTTAACAGAGTAACAGAGTTGGAAGGGATCTTTTTTTTTTTTCAGAAGACTTAAGGCGAATGACTGGCCCAAGGTCACCCAGCTGGCTTTCTCCAAGGTCACCCAGCTGGCTTTCTGCCTAAGTTGGAACTAGAACTCACAATGTCTCAGATTTTAGCCTGATGCCTTAACCACTACACAAGATTGGCTCTCTTTTATAAGTATACTGCATCATCGAATACATGTTGGTAAAATCAGTCTCAGACATAGTTTCCTCTTAGGAACTCCAGGGCATTCATCTGGAACAAGGTCAAGTCAAGTCTTGCAGCTTACGCCTGAAAGAGATCCAGAGAAGAAGCTCAGCGTGTAACTACCTGGGAAAGTGCTCTTTATTCCATTGGATATAATCAACAATATTCTAACTACCAAGGAAACTTCTGTATGGATCCAACTGTAGAAGAAAGAATGGAAGGAAGTGACTTTAAGGCTTTTCCAAAGGACCTGCCCAGCCAAAGTCCAACTCTGAAAGAAGTCGAAGGACTTTAACAGATACTAGGAATAATTCCCCACAGCGGCCCTGCACGTGATCTCCCTGCTCCTCCATACCCAGGAGAGACTTGGTTACCTAAAACAGGGCTATTGGCCGGTCTTTGCAGGCATCAGAAGAGAGCAGAGAGGTAGGTTTCCAATAGCCACATAATAAGTCCTAATGAGGGCTCTTACCTGTGCTCAGCTAATTTCACTTTTTATTTTCCTCCGGAGGCATTCTTTTTTCGCCTCATCTCTCAGAATTCCCTGATAAATCATGATCTACTAGGACACTGTTTCTGAAAGGGTGCTCCAAGATCCTCTCGAGGAATCTACAAAATCAAAATTATTTGCTAGACATTGAAGGTATTTGCTAAAATTCGAAATAATGTAATTTAACTCATTTTTATTTGTTAAAATATACTTTTTATGAGAAATATTTTATGTTAGTTAATATCTAACTCAATAAATATTCTATGAATGCATCCATTTTAACTTTAATGCAGTAAGTATTAATAAATATGACCTACACAAACAAAAGCTCTTTTGGGGTCCTCCATAATTTTTAAAAGTGAGAAGGGGTGCTGAGAGGACAACATTTAAGAAATGATGCTCAAGGAAATCTGCACGCACAGAGTCTGCACAAGTATGATCTGATCCAAGTCCCTTCCACATTCTCATTCCAAGGACTTCAGCCAACTGCATATCAGAGCTTTAGGAAACCCCTAAGTTTCTTCTGAAACCATACTGAGTCCACCCAGTCCCTGGGATGGATGGATCAAACACACTCTCTCCTCATTTAATGACCACAATCCAGTCCTTTAATTGGAAGTGAAATGGCCACTAAGCGAACATATGATACAAAGACTGATGCTGCAAAGGTCACTGGCTGCTACCATTTAATTCAGATAAAGTTTTCTTGTACAGTTGTGCCAGCATTACTCTTACTCCAATGTACAATTGTTGTCAGGTGCACAAAATCAGGTGTACAAAATCTAGTTGCAAATGCACACATTGGTCAGATTTTTTAAAAAATTACTATTATATTTGCAAATGGTCACTAAATGAGGTAGCTGCTAATCAAGGAGTGGCTGTAGGCCTTGCCTCCCTGCATGGAGGAGCTATTGTGAAGGGCCAAGAAGGAGTGGCAAGCAACTGATATTTGTGCCACCAAATCCCCACTTTCATCACTGACCTCCCCACAATATTCCACCAACCTTAAAGCAAATCTAACCCTAACCCTAATCCTAACCCTTGATTTACAATTGATCACTTAGTAATGGTTCAAAGTTAAGGCGGATCCTCAAAAGCTATTTACAACTTGATTCTGAAATTATAGTAAGGTGACCAACTTTTTTACAGTGAAAAGGAGGACACAAATTAATTGAAGAAAAAATATCGTAAATAAAAGAAACATTTTATTCATTGCAACAATAATATAGAATACACTATAATATGATAAATGCAGAGTAGGCCCCGTGGCTCCCAAAGCACCAGCTGTACCGGCTCCGGCCCCAGGGGCAGCCCGCTGTCAACACACCCTACCTGCAGCCGCCCCGCCAGCACCACCACCCACCCTGCACAGCCCCATGTAGAGCGGGCCCCGCGGCTCCCACAGCACGGGAGCAGCCGCCCGCCGCCACCCCTCACACCCTCGCCAGCAGCAGTCCCACTGCCCCTGCCTCTTGCGCCCGCAGCCATTATTGCCCTAGCAGGACCGAAGATCAAGAGAAACTTACCGTGGCATCGCCACTCCAGTCTCCTCCAGGTATCTTCGGGACTAACTAGGAGATGGTGTAGTTGGGTAGCAGGGTGGGGTGCAAAGTTCCTGCCAATTCGCCTTTGCTGCAGACAACTTACATGTGCAAAGTTTGCCGGTTGCGCTCAGCAGCAATTCCTATTGGCATTTGAAAGCCAATAGGGGGAGTAACACAGCTCATGCAAAAGTTAAAAAAAAAAAACTGTAGGCGTCCGTGGCGGGGAAAACAGGACACGAGAAGCAGCTGGAGTCTCAGGTTCTTTTATTCAGCGTTCAGTTACAGGAGATGGCTTCAGCTCAGCCCAAACGCTCACAGCCTCTTATATAGGCAACTACCGGTAAATGGTACTGTTCCGCGCCATCACCGAGCATGCGACCCCCGGCGCTGGCGACAGCCTGTCTGGTCCCGGGCAGCTTTGCACCTGCCCGGGACTGCCTGCAAACGCCCGAGCCGTTTGCAAGGCTCGGGACCTAACACCCCTTTCCCCCGGGCTAAAACTACTATCAACATACAACATTTATTTTACACGACAATTTGCTCCCCAGTGTTCCCACTGTTTACTGGCTTTTGTATTGCCAACAATGTTATGTAATCTTCTAGGTACTTAGGAGATTTCTTTGCTCTCTGTGACCTTCTTAGCTCTGGGTTACTGGAATAAGTCCCCTGACTGGAGGGAGGCATGAGCCTGTTCTCTCTACTGTGCCCTGGTGTCTTCCAAGGACTGTGCCCCGATGCCTGGCCTGCTTGCTTGCCCACCGGGCTCGTCAGGCCAGGGCTTCTGTTGCTTTGTGACCTGGTTGTCCTACCTAGCTGTAGCCCCTCAGGCCCCTTGAAGTGATAGCCAATGCTGGGCGTCTCTGTAGAACCCCCTAGGTCAGTCCAAGACCTGTCAGGAGGCTGTCTATTCCCTGAACCCCATTCTGTGTTTTGGCTCGTGTGGGTTTCTGTACTCTCCCAAAACTCAGGTGTCCCCTGATTTGTGCTAGGGGTGTTGTAGTCGGGACTTGGTTCCTCGACTAGCTCTGTGTATGTTTGACCCCCTGTAGTATTTGGGGTAAGGTCAGGCCAACCTTGGGCATTGTGTGCCAGCTCTCTTGCGGGGAATGATTTGTTGGGATGCCCCCGGGTATCCTCCGTTGCTGGAGTGCTGTGTGCTGTGTGGGGAAAGTGAGTATGCCCCCGGGGTAACTCCCTGGCTGGAGTAGGCGTGAGTGCCTGTTGTGTGGGTAAGCTCCAAGACTTCCTTTTCGGAGCAATTGCAGAACCTGGGGACGAGCCGTTTGTGGCTCCCTCAGTGGCGATGGGCAGTAGCTCTTGCCCTTCCCTTTGCTCCAAAGGGTCCCCCTCCCCCCCTGGAAAAGACCCAGGAGTTTCAGCAGAAAAGTCCCGCCTAGAGAGGAGTTGGTCGATGTGCCGACGCAGGACACGACCGTTGTCCAGGGCAACCTCGTAGGAGAGAGGACCTGTGATCCTGGA